GGGGGGGGGGGGGGGGGGGGGGGGGGGGGGGGGGGGGGGGGGGGGGGGGGGGGGGGGGGGGGGGGGGGGGGGGGGGGGGGGGGGGGGGGGGGGGGGGGGGGGGGGGGGGGGGGGGGGGGGGGGGGGGGGGGGGGGGGGGGGGGGGGGGGGGGGGGGGGGGGGGGGGGGGGGGCGAATGGAGGCGGTGGCGGCAGGACACGCCCTAATGTGACCTGCTGCCTCTCTCGCACTCTCTTCCGGCTTCTCTCTGGCGCTCTTGCGTGCAGCGTGTGTGTCCGTGCGCGCTGAGGTGACATCATGTAGCTTGTGAGCTGAATGCAGCATCAAAGGGCGTGACAGCCCCCCTGCTTTCCTTCCCTACCCCCGCCGTAGTGATTTTGTTTATTTGCATTTTTTTTCCCCACGAATGCCGTCCTGATGCCTTTTAGCCAGTCATTCATGATGAGCATTGCAGTATCACACTTTATCGGAAACATCGAGAGTATGACGTCGTCATAATGAATTTAACAAAGATGAGTGATTTGCCACTGCTGGAGGACAAATTGCAATTGAGGCCATATTTGGAAATAGTTGCCATGGGGCTTATCGGGGAGTAGTATGGATGCTTTTGTGGCTTGGTCTATTGCCGTTGGCACTCTGAAATCACTCCACTGATTCCCAAACATGTTGGATGCCCCACGAGGCGCCGCCACGTTGCAGTTTTCGACTTGTTCTCATGTTCGCTTCTGTCGTTCACATGCACGATGAGTGGGTTCATTGACAGCCGTGCTAAGTGCACGTGTCAAAAGGCCTCCACTTTCTACCTTTCTTCCACGGCGACATTTTATTACTGCCCAGCTTGAAAACGTTATCCTTTTAGTTTTTTCCAATTCTTGACAGTCTATTGTTCTAAAGTACATTGCTTTTCTAGTACCATACTTTTCCGTCAATATTCTCTCATTTAAAGTAGATTTTTAAAATGTTTTAATATTCTTTTTGTAAGTGGAGGGAGGCCAACAAAGAGTTTCATTGCTCAGTGCGCCCTCCCGTAGAGTTTTTACTGTGCATATAACAAATACAAAAAGGTCTGATCTGGGGTAATAGAAGAGATACGAGTTTCTTTATGATCGTTAGTTTTGAAAAGTGCTTCTCTCCATCGTTTCAAAGCTGTAACTTGAAAGCTGGACTCGTCTATAATTGATGCTTGAGTACAGCAGTAAGTTGTTGATTGTTGCAACGGTGGCAGTAGCAAACAGTCGCATGCGTTCCCCACAGCAAACGCCTCCAACTTGCTTCTGTGTTTGCGGTTAGTTCAGTCATTGAGCATCCTGTGTGCACCTTTGCTGTGCTCCTGACACACGCCCACGCTTCCACATTTTCCGACGCCGCCACCCGACTCCAGCATCCATGCAGGCCTAAAAACGCACACGCCCCTGCGCGAGGTGATAAAACACCAATTGTGCCATCCGCCCTGCATGACGACACAAAGAGCGGAGGGCCCTCCCCCACGCCGTCTTGTTCTCTGCTCCTATTGGCCGGAAGCCCTGGATGCTGGCAGAGCCTCCGACCAATGAGACGTCTCCAAAGTGATGTCATGGAGGCAGCGGTGATGCTGTTGCCCGGTGCCTGGATCTTCGCTGCCAGACTGGGGGGGAACCAAAGTCGCCAGTCGAGCATCGGCAAGAAGTGTCGGCCAGAGGGGGTGAGTCTCATCATAAATGATTACATCCCCATTTTCATTGAGGTCGTTGATTGAAGAGTTTTGATATCTGGACTCAAATATGTGATTTCATCAGCGGGGATTGAATCGGGGGTGTGGTTGGGGAGAATGATGAGAACTCGGCGTACCCACAAAGTGGGTGTCATTTATTATGAATAATCCATGTGCGGAGATGTGGCTTTGTGTCTGATTTGGGGGACTAAAGGAAGTATGAGGCTGAAAGAGGCTGCTTGTGATGCAAGTGTATGCAGCAAAAAGGCTGTGCTCATGGTGGTTAAAAGATAAAAAAATGGAATCATCGCTGGTGGGTGTACATTTAATTACCATGGGATGTTTTGTGCAATAAAAAAATGGCTGCACTGACTCGAAATTGTCCCGCTTTGAGTGTTATGGGCTGTATTTTCATAACTGTTCATAATGATTGGACGACGTGCACTTGAAAGTGTGAATATTGTCCTGAAAACATTGGGAGAATTATTGTTTACAATAATAAACTCTTAAACTGATTTTGTTTTTTTTAAAGATAGACGAGATCCTCACAAGGGTCGCGGGGCGTGCCGGAGCCTATCCCAGCCGTCTTGGGGCAGTAGGTGGGGGACACCCTGAACTGGTTGCCAGCCAATCGCAGGGCACCAACAACCATTTGTGCTCACGCTCACACCTAGGGATAGTTTAGAGTGTTCCATTAACCTGCCATGCATGTTTTTGGAATGTGGGACGAAAGCGGAGTACCCGGAAGTAAATGTGCATGTGAGTGAGAAAGGAAACAACCATTCTCACTCACATGCACATCTGTGGATAAGTTACAGTCTTCAGTTAACCTAACATGTATGATTTTTTTTTCTTTTTTTTAATGTGGGAAGTAAAACTCTGGGCTGGGACACACACACACAGGTACAGGAAAACAGACACAGGAAGCCCAACACTTTCACTTTTATAGCAGTTGCTGATTGCATAAAAGTTTAAATCAATTCTCAAGATTTGAAGTCGACTTGCCAGAAAAAGGAAAAAAAAAAACAGAATAGTATGGTACTAAAACACGCCAAAACCATGTTGAATTTTTGGCAGTTTTTAGCATGTGGTTGGTTGCTTTAATTTGGTCTGTGTTCCATCTGGTCAGTGATAGCATCCTTTCTATCTGTGTGATAGTGGTGTGCGTCCCTGCTGGGATTTAAGGATCGAAATTCTTGTCGTTACTCTGGGGGGGTGCCCAAATGATGATTATTCATCATTTCCCCTAAAGAAAACACCAATAATTAGGAGCTAGCGCATGTGTGTGCGCGCGTAATTCATTGTTGTCGCTTCCTCGGTTGGCTTCTCTCCATCTTTAATTAAAACGTCAGGAGCTCCCGGGCCGGAGATCTGATTTATCTCCCTGCAGTTGTATCTTTCACTTTCTCCCATTGTTTAGATGAAACCTGGATGCATTTGCAAGATTGCACTTGTGTTCATTTTTTTTTTTTTTTTAATTCAATTATTTTATCTGGTGCATAGTGTGACCTTTGAGATGCTTCATTGATGCCTGTTTCCCTGCAGACTGAAAAGGAACTCTCACATCTTTGAAAAGCAACGTAAGCACCGAGAAAATGACTCTCGCAGGTAAGGCTGTCATTTTGATGATGCGAACGAACCCTTCCGGTTGGTTTAACTGTAAAAACTGAACTTGTTTCTCTGTATCCAGCCTACAAAGAGAAGGTGAAAGAGCTCCCTCTGGTGTCGCTGTTTTGCGCCTGCTTCAGGCCGCAGAATGTGGAGAAGGCCACGTACAAGGCCGAGGGTAAAAAAAAGATACCGCTTCAACATCAACTAACTTGAACGATAGCATAAAGTGACAATCATTAATCGCTACGTTTCAGACGCAGTGGATCTGGGGTGGAGCGCCATCAAGGACGTGGAGGTCAAAGAGTTAAACAAGAGGGCGTCGGGTCAGGCCTTTGAGGTCATCCTGAAGCCGCCGTCGTTTGACGGCTTACCGGAGCTCAATGCGACCATGCCCCAGCGCAGGGACCCGTCCCTGGAGGAGATCCAGAAGAAGCTGGAGGCCGCCGAGGAAAGGCGAAAGGTGGGAAACGGAAAATCGTACCTCAGACGGAGGTTGCTTTTTCTTCATTGATTTCACCATTTCTACCGAGTGTGAGGTTTTTAAATGCTACTCTGAGATGTTTGCGGGCCTCGCCTTCAACTTCATTGCGAGAAACATTGTAGTGATGTGAAGCTGACCGATCCCGGGTGTACCCTGCCTCTGGCGAATGCTTGATTAATTTCTAAATAGGTACAGGACATCACCAAAAAGATTTTCTTAAGGATTGTTAATTTGTCAAATATAAGTTACAATCAGTTAATTGCAAAAGAAATCTCCAGCTATATGGCTGTACTGTCTCGGCCAGATTTGGACAGTCAGCTAAACTCATCTCCTACACCACGATTCTGAAGACGTTATCTGTACTCTTAGTCCACAGGTTTAATGATGCAGAAAAGGTGACACTGTAACACACAATACAAGGCTATATTACTTTGAATTCACAACCAACAGAATAAAATATCATTACCTCAACCGCGAAACTAGCAAGACGTCATTGTGCTAACGCAATTAGCGAGCGCTAGCATAAATCGTTAAAAAAAAATTCTGCATGTTGCGGAACAGCATTTTCTAACAGAAAGCATGACAGAACTGCTCATCGATAACGACACGAACTTGTACATACCCACGATGCTTCCAAAGGCGTGAGATGTATGTGCATTGTGCTTGATGAAACTCGACGACCACCACGTTTTTTTCTTGGTGACGAATGAGCTAACACTCTACTTCCTGCTTCCGTGTACGCATTTTCCGCTTTGATAACGTCACGTCCGGTTGACAACTATGCTATTTACAATGAAATCAATAAAGTTACGTTGCAGTACTCTCAACTATGCGTAGGAATATTCACGTTACTTTAGTGTAACTTAAATACAATATCCAAACTTAGATTAACATACCTGTCAACCTCGGCTAATAGCTGCCCTTATAAATGATTACGATTCCCCTGACAAGGCAACAAAAACCCGTACAACGGTTTACCGCGCATGCGCACATCATGCTTTATCAATCCCATCGTACGCAGCGATGAAAAAAAATAGACGATTGAGGATTACTTTTGCTGGTTTGCCGTGACAATAGTAGCGATCGACGACGGCATTGTCGTTGGCTACCAGCAGGTGAGACGATCTGGATTTGAGCCAAAATGGTCTTTGTGAGATTGGTTCACAATTGTTTTGTTTTTTTCCGTGTAAAAGTTGTAATACGCCGTACATGATTTGAAATGAGAAAAAAAACGTATAAAATACGGGGAAAACGTACAAATTGACAGGTATGGATTAACTTTAAATTGGGGACAGAACAATGGCAGTGGACTTGTCGGTGAAGACAGCTTTGACAAAGCCAGATGGACAAACCCAAAGACTAAAGTGTAACCTTGGCATTAATCTGGCCTTTGTGTGTCGGCTGATTTATAAAGGGAAGCGGTTGGTTTGCTGATAAGAGCATTGAGGGAGGGTGTGATGGGAAGGAGGGGAATAAAGGGAGGAAATGGGAGACAGGAACGATGAAAAGACAGGCATAAAAAAAAAAAACAGTCACACACAAGTGCACATCGTCACTCATTTCAACGAGGAGAGTGTAAGGCGAGCTGAGAGAAATTCCAGCCCGGTCCCATTTTTTTTCGTGCTGACTAAATGCCCCTCTCATCCAAAGTCAACTGGGATTGAGGACATCGGTGACACAAAATGACTGGATGGAGATGTTGTGACATGGCCCGTTGACTGCATTTCATTCGTTATTCCTGTGTTGGCAGTGTCAGGAGGCGGAGCTGCTGAAACACCTGGCCGAGAAGAGGGAGCACGAGCGAGAGGTGATCCAGAAGGCCTTTGAGGAGAACAACAATTTCATCAAGAATGCCAAGGAGAAGCTGGAGCAGAAGATGGAGGCAAACAAGGAGAACAGGGAGGCATTGTTGGCCGCCATGCTGGAGAGGCTGCAGGAGAAGGTACCGGTGACACCTTTCACGCGGAATTCCAGCTCGCTTGAAATAGTTCTCGGTGTTAGTTGCTCCATGTACAGCACTTTGTATGCAGCGATGGCTGTTTGAAAGTGCTCTATAAATACAGTTGAGTTGAGCTGAGAGAAGCTGGCTTCTCACTCATTGACGTTAAAGTGTTCATTCAACCGGGCCGCCATTGTCGCTCTTTTTGCTCGACAGGACAAACATGCGGAGGAGGTGAGGAAGAACAAGGAGCTGAAGGAGGAGGCCTGCCGATAGATGCCCGTAGAGAGAAAATGAGGAGAGGACGACGAGGTCCATTGAGAGCAGACTAGAGATGGTTTGTGTTGGATTTTTTTTTTCTAATTCAGGAATACAAAAGAGATCCAGGAGAAAAAAAAAAGAACTCATAAAGCGATTCAAAAGATGGGAGAAGTAAGACTTTCATATTGATGTGTGTCAGAACGAGCTGTACAAAAAAGCTTTAAAAAAAACGCTTGGTGTGGAACAAATTTCATGTATCGAATAGAGAGGATGGATGTGTTTGCAAATTTTTTTTTTCCAGAAGCCTTAGTGATACTTCCTCATGATGTTGTCACTGCGTGTGACTCATTTCAGGCATTCGAGCTTTTTTCTAACAGAGTCAACCCCGAGAAAGGCCATTACATGTCATCTAACTAAAACAACAAATGAGTAGAGGAAGGTACAGTTTGTGTCGTTTTCCTCTGAAACTTCGAGAACCTAAAAATATCAAGCAGCTAATTGAATAAGAGTAAAATGATCAAAATCAAGTATTTTTTTCTCCTTGCTTTTTTTTTTTAAATCTAAATTGCTCCGCTTGGTTCTTTGTTTTTTTTCATAGCTTGGGGCTAGCTGCCTATTTAGTGAGTAGCAGGGTCAACGAATTTAGCGAGCACACACATTCAAGCTTTTGCGCCTTCTGTATATAAATTGAAGGCATTCTTACCAGGGAGTCAAATGTGAAAATGATGAATTTCATGTTAGATTTTGTCACCATTTGGGATTTATCACACTGTTTAGGGATATCAAGAGAAGAAATTGCAATTTTCAGGGTCTTTTAGGTCATTCTATGTTGTGTAGTTGTTAATCAGTCTCTGACATTTATAGCACGAATTGCACTCTTACTTTATCAAGCACAACTCAGAAGCACACGCTCATACACGACAGCCAAAATAAGCATGTCGTTTATAACGATTTGTCAGCCAAGTTTTGGGGTTCAATTGACAGGTTTGTTGGAATTCATCTTTGGCATGTGTCACTGTGCTCTGTCAGTTTGTGAAAAAAGAAACGAAAAAGGTCAGAAAAGATTGATGTCATTTGCTTGAGTTGTCAAGTCATACGGCTTTTTTTGAAACGCTGAAAATGTTTGCACAGTAATTTGGAAACGTGTGACGATTTGAGTGTATCCATTTGGCATGATCAGTAAAAAAAAACTGCTTGATTGAACGCTCATGTGTCGGTTGTCATTATTTCTATTGATGTATTATCTGCACCAGTGAATCTGTATTCATATTCGAAGTCGTGAAATGATGAACAGGAAAGAAAGAAAACAAACTTAGAAGAGGAAAGTCCTTAAATATGAAGAGAATAAAGTCATATTTGCACAAGAAAAGAAAAACGGTCACAGGAATAACCCTGTGGGGTGGGATCCAAGAATTAAGTCAGATTTTTACAACACAAAATAAATATTACAAGAATATTGTCTATTCTATAAGCTGGCCCCAGTTATGTGTTGGGCCAGACCCGGGCAGCAACTACGTCAGGGGTATCATGACGATCGTGTATGTAGAGGAACGACTCCCTGGACGCGCAGAAGTTTTATACAAACTGTTGAGCAGGAACAGGTAGGATGCCAGCCTCGTGATAATCTATAATGATTCAGAAAGATAGAAGCGTTTGCTGATTTCATGTCCCTGACTGTTATGTACTACACTGTATCTCCATCCACGATCTCTGGATGTGTGACCACCGAGCCGCCCGCCATGGGAAAACAACTCTTGCCAAAATGCCTTTGCGATCTCCTGTACAGTAGGTGGCGATATGCACCAAGGAGACGTAATCCGCCAAAAACTTGGAAGAAGACAGGAAGAAGCCACACATCCGTTCAATGGGCAGGACTTCCGGCGACTACCGGCTAAGTTTTCAGTGAGTTAATTCAACATTTGTCAACTCCATTTGCCGTTTATATATGAATGTATGTAGCCGCACGATTTAGGAGCACGATTACGACACGTTTGTCCATTGTTGCTTGCTCAGTCACTCGAAGCTCGCTCGCTCTGGTCAAACAATATCATCAAAGGTGGCTCGTGAGCTTGTTCGCCCACAAGCAACACTCGGCTGTCAATCAAAAGTCAAGCAAGGAAAGCCTTTGACTGAAATATACTACATATATTTCATAGATATACTACAAGTATTTTGGGGGTAGAAAAGCGGTATCTATCTCCCTTGAAGCAAGGTTCGACTGTAACTATTTTTAAACCTACACACAATGCCTTATGTAAAAGAAATGAAAACCACTGTTGAAATGACATTTCACTGAAAAAAAGAATCGTGTACCATTTTATTCTTTTCACTTTTTATTGCTTCCACTCTATTTACAAAATATGAAGGGGGGAAAATAGTATATTGAACGGCAGATGATATATAACAGTTTACTCAAAGTAATCATAAACCAAACAGTTGAGCAGATGCACTCCAATGTAGAAACACTGTCACAATTTCAAACGGCTGCGCTGTTATGAAAAGTATGAATAGAAAAGGCCGGAGAAACCGCAGAAATGCATCTTCTTTAGACGTCCATTGAACACAACCGACTGGCGGTCTTTCGCCTGCTCTCAGATGAGGAAGATGATGTCATCAGCCACCATGACCTGATTGTCGTCCTGCATGCGAGTCAAAGCGGCGCGGACCTCCGCTTCCGTGAAGCGCACCTGACGTTCTTTGTTGACACCCTCCATCAGCACTTGCATCTTTACCGACTGAGCGTGAGCTGACTGAAACACGGCAAACAGGGAGGACTTGAACTCCTTCAGCCTAGCGGGAGAAAACCAAAAGTCATATCATGACCTATTCACCTGGAGTTCATCTTTTTTTTTTTTTTTGGACATGTCAAAATGAAGCGCCCACCTTTCAGAAGAGAGCTCAGAGCCATCAGCCGGTGAGGAGGTATCCATTTGTTCTTCTTCCACCTGCTTGGCCTTGGTTTTTTTCACGGCGGCGACCTGAACTGAACAGCGCAATTGACTACGTGAGACTTCCAAGGGAAAAAAAAAAAAAAAATAGTGTAGTGTAGATATCAGTCAGGGCCCCTCTTAGCACCAGGAGAGATTAAAAAAAAAAAAAAAAACCTGCCGCTGTGCCTGAGGAGGGATCAAAAGCATCCAAGTGTGAAGAAAGTCTTACTGTCAGGAACATCCTGCTCTTCAGTGAAGTCATATGGACTGCAGGGCTCGCTGCCCTGTGACCCGCGGCGCACCCTTCAGGACGCATAAGTTATTGTTAGGTGCTGCAAGGACAAACTGTCTCAGCTGTGTGCAAAGATACCGGAATTTATCTACCTCTTTCTCTGAGATCTCTGTGACTGCTGAGTAGATGCAACCTCTTCGTCTTCCTCCTCATCTGAGCCAGAAGCATGTTTCTTTCTGGAGCGCTTCTTTTCTTTCTCGAGAACCTGCATCAAAGCACACGTTTTGTCACCCGCCACTCAAACGTCCCAACTTGCGCTACGTGACACGCTCGCTTGATCAGCACGCACCTTCTTGAAGTAGGCGAACTGGACGAGCTCAACCGCAACCTCCGAGTCCTCCATCTCCACGACTTTGCTCATGCGGGCCTTGGCGTGAGCCGTGGACAGACGGATCAGAGTCTCCAGTGTTCGGGCCGTCACCGGGGATGTCTGAGGCAGAGACAGGACACTGAACACGGCGGCTGAGCTCCCCACCAAAAAGACAATTTAGTGGATAAGATGTACAATTCGTCATTTGTGTCCCCCCACCTTATTTATTCATTTTCATTGACTTTTTAGATGTATTTTGCACCGTACGTTGTATTATGATTCACTCGGCAAGGCGCCCCCCCCCCCCCCGAAAACTCTTGTTCAAACTTGATTATTTTTCAGCTCGACTGCTCACCCTGGCAATATCGGCGCCCAGCTGCTCCTGGCTCCTCAGCCTCGAGTACTCTTCCGCGATGTGATTGGCCGCCTCTTCCGTCAGCACCGGCATCACCCCTTTGGCGATGTGTATGTACTTCCTCATGAATTCCTTGCTCACAATCTTCTCTCTGAAACGGAGAGAATGAGAAAGCTGAAAGACACTGAGCAACTTCATGACTCATTGCTGTACTGTAAACGCAACACTGGGGTTCAAATCAGGTAAGATAAAATGACACTGTATATTGAATAACGTGATATCTTTCAAATCAAGGTCATGCTGGATTTGTTTTGTGTCAATCTCATAGCAGATGAGGCTACCTCTTTTTTTTGTTCCCATGCAGCAGGTTGTTGTGCTTCTCGTAGACCTGCAGCTCCTCATGCTCCTGCGCCGCAGCATCCGGATCCTCAGTGGCCAGGACGTCGACTGAGCCACCCAGAGCCATTGCTAAAAATCAGCAGGTGTAAATAAAAATAAGCGGCACGTCCCAATGTTTCATTACTGGCAGAAGCTGAGCCGCAGTACCTGCACCCTCCTGCTCACGGGGGTCACGATAGCGGTGCATCCTCAGGACGTGGTCCGAGATCTCACGGTCCTGTTCCGGGTCCATCTGATCCAGCACGATGAAGAGAAGGTCGAAACGTGACAGCAAAGAGTCCTGCAGTCCGATGTTCTCCATGGGGGTTTTATACTGGTCGTACTGGGAGAACCCGAGAGGCGTACGGTGAGTGGGCCCTGTTCGGGAGGCATCGCGAGGTTCTTCCTGCAACTCACCCTGCCGTAGACGGGGTTGGCAGCCGCCAGAACGGAGCAGCGGGCGTTCAGGCGGGCGTGGATGCCGGCTTTGGCGATGGTGACTCGACCCTGCTCCATGACCTCATGGATGGCGGTGCGGTCCATGTCGGACATCTTGTCAAACTCGTCGATGCACACCACGCCGCGATCGGCCAGCACCATGGCGCCGGCCTCCAGGCGCCGCTCCCCTTGAGGCAGACGGAAAGATTAATCAATCCGATCGGACAGAAAGAAAATCGGCGGATGTGCCATTTCCTACCGGTTTCCTGGTCAGTGGTGACAGCGGCGGTCAAGCCCACCCCGGAGGAGCCCCGTCCAGTGGTGGGGATGGCTCTTGGTGCGGTGTGGAGAACGTAACGCAGAAGCTGAGACTTGGCAACGGAAGGGTCACCTGAAAGAGATCAATGCATTACTTTAAGGTAAGGGGGAATTCAAGTTGGGAGAAAAAAAAAAAGACATTTTGTCCAGCACCCTCCCCTGAAATTGACCTCAAAGTTCCCCTGCATTGCCCAAAGGCATTTGGGCAGCCATTTCTGTCAACAGGTAGCGATGGATAAAATGATCCCCCACCCCCCTGGAAAAAGCTCACTTTATTTTTCGTACCAATGAGCAGGATATTTATGTCTCCTCTGATTCGCGAGCCGTTTTCCAGGACCTTCTCCACACCACCGAGCAGCATGCAGAGAATCGCCTTCTTGATGTACTCGTGACCGTGGATGCTGGGGGCCAGCGAGCGAGACAGCTGATCAAAAACATTCTAGGTAAGCACAAAGACGAGCGTGTTAATCAAAGACACTAGATTGGACAACTATAAACAGGTTGGAAATGGTTTGGCTTGTTGAGAAAGCTTCCCCACGCCGGGAAACGTATCGGAATGACTTACCACAGAGCGACTGCAACAGAAGTTTCGAATTTTGCTGATGTCGTCAGCAGTGAAGGATGGGGACGCTTCCTTGCTCATCTGTTTGATATGACAGGCGATCATGATGGTCCTAGGATTAAATAAAGAGTCAATGAATACAAATTCAGGCATTTACATAAATGCCATGCCTTTGCACATGCAAATGTGTCAAAACAAGAAAATGGGTTTGTGATCAAAAAACATTAGAACTGGTTTCACCTGAACGTCCCGGAAGTGAAGCCTCCCTTCTTTCCGGGCAGGCAGCGGTACGTCCCGATGACCTGCACCCTGTCTCCCGGTTTGACCACATCCACGAGGTCATTGTCCAGAATGATGTCCACAGAGCGAGGCAACTGGCCCGCTGGGGCTTTCTCTGGCATCTCCTGCACCGTGATGGTCTGGTGGTCCTTGTAGACGGACAGACCGAACTCCGTTTCGAGAGGGTTGTTCTCCTCGTCCTGTCAGAGGGAAGCTCGATGATCGATACGTGTGTGTGCGCGCGCCCCACCTGAGAGATGAGAGCAACAGCGAGCATGCGTTTTGATACCTTTGTGGGGTAGATGGAACTAGAAGGGAAAGCATCCAAGGAGGTCATATCAGTGTACTTCCGCTCCATGGTCTTGTTGGTGGCAGGGCAGTAGTGAACGCTGCGCACCACTTTGGGGCGCACAAGAGAACCTGAGGAAAATCAAAGAGCGATTATAATTGAAAGCAATTTGCACAGTGTGCGTCAAACATGACTGATATCCGAAAGAAACTCACACTTGGTGATGATGCCCTCCACACAGACCATACTGCCCAGCAGCCTCGACGTCAACGTCCTGGGGGTGACGTGCTTGGAGCCGAAGCTTCCCTCCAGGCCGATGTTGAACTCCTCGTACTGTTTGGCGTAGGTGGCATCCACCGAGGCCACCAGATCCTTCAGGGCCAGCTGGAAGGCCATCAGCTCTTCAAAAGCATTGTTCATCAACCTGGAGGACGGAGCGAGACATCTGAGCAAGCTGTTGTTTGAGCTTCAACAGAAGTCGATGAGGAAAAAGGACCGGTACAAAGTCAAATCCTTTGAAGGTAGGTGAAGAATTGTCCAAATCGGAGCCTCTGCAAATTGAATTCTACTAAAATGAGACGACTATTAGAATCAATGTAGAAAATGTCTTGTCAAGTCCCATCCAGGGCAAATATGTGTATTACAAATGTCATCTCAACAATTTAAACTAGCACAAGGTCCCAAGTGGTCAGTATGTGACACTAAACACCCCATAAATCAGTGAGAAACACAAATGCAAAAAGTGACTGATTTTTTTTGAAGCCAGGTCTGCTTGTTGTTCATCGAATTCTAATAACACATTCGCTCACTTGGCAGCCCGCACGTCGTTGCGTCTCCTCAGGTCGTTAATGTTGACGATGAGACGAGACTTGTTCTCGCTGATCATGTCACGGACTTTGCTCTGGTAAATGCCCTGGTCTTGCTGAAATATGAAGAATGTTCACATTTTAGTTTCATCACAAATTACAGCCCCCCCCCAAAAAAAAAATCAAGAAAAATACGGAAATATGAGGACAGTCTAAAACGCTCCAAATAAAAAAATATTCACGTTGTTAAATGTATAAAACATGCAAATCAATCCTCACCAAAATTCTTACGCCCACTCCAACCTCTGAAAATATCAACCATAGCCACAATGCCTGGGCTTTTATGGACGTTAAACGCCCTCGCTACATAAGTGTATTGTCGCTTTGAGGATATCGCTTAACGTCCAACCATCCATTATCTCAACCGCTTCATCCCCACGAGAGTCGCAGGCGTGCTGGAGCTTGTCCCATCTGAAATATTGGGACGATCGTTCTGATATTTGCAGCTGTTGAAGCGGGCAAAAATGTGCACGTAAATGTTGATGACGTTAGATCGCGGTTTCCTGACATTAAGCAACATTATACTTTTTCACACTCACGCTAAGCGTTGTAGACTGTTCCGCACTATTTGTGGTGTGATAATGGGAGATGTGCGAAAAGAGAGTCACTTCTTTTGGTTGGCACCGCATGCTTTCATTTGGGCGGACAATAACTTCATAATATAATGAAACTTACATCATCGTCCAGGAAGTCAAGATAATCCCTCTGCGCCTCCCTCATCACGCGATCATCTCCGCCATCAGTAGCCATAATGAAATAGTTTGTTTAAATTTAGGGGAAAAACGACGTAATAAACGCTAAACAGCTCGAATGGATGCGCAGCCTTCTGTCCGCCGGTCCGCTCAATGAAGCCTTTTCGCGCCACGGCGTCCTGACGCGAAGAGAACGTACAACGCGATTGGTATTTGAGGTTCCGGGTTCTTCGCGTGTTAATACAGATATCCAATGAGAGGCCTATGTGTGTCCACGTGATCCAGCTCCACGAAGAACTCCCGCGAAAAAACTGCAGGCAGATCCTCCCTAAGAGCAAAGTTGAACTAAAATGTCAACAATTTCAATGTTGTCCAGGAGATGGCGACATAAAATATTTTCAATTTTCATGCAATGACGTTATGGTGGAAGTGTACACTGGTCACCGCACTACATCGATTTCAAAATATTAATTTGAGAACTGCGAAAATAATAATGCACGCACTTTCGCGTCATAAATCCCAATTACCAAACAGTGTGAGAGATTGTTTAATTAAATGTCACTCCTTCGTAATTAGGGGAAACATTTTTTTAATCGGCAGTTGCCGGTTATTTTCTTTTTTGTTTGATTAACAGAAAAGTGCAAAATCGGAATAATCCAACTTGATCTGTACCGATTACGAATTTTCAGCGTTTCAGGCGACTGAATATAAACAACAAAGATGGCTGATCGCGAAGTGTTTTTTTTTCTCAAAACACATTTTGATCTCCATAAAACTCGCCTTTATAATTTCAATTAATTACCAAAAAAAAAAAAAAACATTCAATATGGATTCTTATTTTTCACGCATTTCCTACATTTCACCGTAGGCAGATCGTGGTATATCTTCACGTAGTCAGTACAAATCATGTTGTGTTAATTGAAGTTGTTTAATCATAAATGACGATAGATGAATATATTTTTCTTCTGGTATAAATTAGTTTTGCCATTCATGGGCTGTGTCTCTCTGGAGGTCGCCATCGAGTGACGTCAGATTGAAGCAACTTGGTGAAATCGGGTTCGTTTTTTTCCCCGACTCGCGACTTGAACCGCCCAGTTTGAGTGGCGTTCCGGTGTACTTTTCTTGTTTCACTTTCATGGAATGCAGCATAAAACCCTCCACAGTGCGTGACATTCTCGGGCTGTGGAACTTCTTCAGGGGGCGACTGTATATGAAACGGGTTTCGCCTCTTCTTGCAAACACGGACAACTGCCGGGAGGACGGTTGCCATCTACACAATTCAGGTGCGTTCAGCTCATCTTATTTGGTTTCTCGTAGCAAAATCGACTGTTTCGAACTTGTTTTGAACAGCTTCCTATTTACTACCGGCACATCTTGCATAGTTTTTTAGTCACTTTACCTGTGCATGTCAAATGTTTGAATAGCCATCAAGTGTAGAAAGCAGGAATTGCACTTGCGCCCTGATATGGTTGTGGCTCCTTTCTACACTGTATATTTACCCTACTGACGCAGTAGATTACATTGTTTTGTGCATATCTGTTCGTGATACTTACTGGTTTAACTGCATATTTTCTTTCCCGAAGAGATTTGGGAAGGAATGTCACTGCAATTGTCACCTTCAATGTGTCTCTGTTCGTGGTTAATTGTTGGATTAAGAAAACATGTTTTTGTTTATCTGGGTTAGGAATTATCATGTGCTGTGGATTTGCTGACCAATTTACTTTGCTCTTTAATCCCATGAATACATTCTTTGTGAATCAAAAAAAAAAAAAAAAAGGATCTTAGTTCATTTCTTTCGGCTGTAAGTGAAAGCAAGTGCGAGTCATTTCAACCTTCTGAATATGAAAATTGCCATCCATTCATTATCCTTGTTCCACTTCCCTGCGAATGCATGCCGCTCATTCACTGCACAGGACCAGCTTGGTTTTACTGACTTTGTGTCAGTTTTCGACTTTGAAGTAGTGCCACAGAATTTGAAAACCGCAAGAGCTGCATTGACCACCTCAGTCTACGCGAGTCATAACAACGAACAGAACAACAGAAGAAGATGCAGGTTTGCTGGATTTACTCTTTGAAAGAGAAAAGTCAGAAAGTGGACCTCTGCAGCAAAGTGAAAATCGTCCAAGTATAATAACGCCGTGGCCAGTCCCGAGCTAGTGAGCTCAGTTGTCAGTATTGTCATTTTAGCTATGTATCCTCAATACGGACACAATGACTAATCTGCTTGACCACTGGGCATTTATGTCATACTTCCAAATCCAACAGGCCAGGTACTAGATACCGTTCTTTCTAGTACTTTTGCTGTTGAAAATCATCAATAGCTAGTAAAGCTGGGCTGATCTGAACAGGTCTTGTGCAGTGGGAATGTAGCATTGAGGAACTGATCAGCATTCATTCACAAGTGATTTCTTCTGATTGTTTTTTTTTTTCCTTCCAGTGTCATCCACTTCCGTGTTTTTTATCTGCAAGATCCAGCGATGTCGGGAGAGTTTCTTCAGCGAATTGGCACCTTCATCTCAAGCGCAAAGCAGATCGGCCGGCTCCCCCGACTTTGTGACCTCGTATCTTCCTCCTTGCCGGTGCCTAGCCCCACTGTCCTTTCCAGTCAAGTCCCCAGCTTGTTTCGGGAACCTTATATCTTGTCGGGATACCGTCCGGTCCATCAGAAGTGGCACTGTTACCTCTTCAGCCTCTTCCAGCGACACAACGAATCCCTTAATGTTTGGACTCACTTGCTGGCGGCTGTTGTGCTCCTGCAACGCTGGTGGACTAAAATCGGAGCCGCGGGGTACACCTTTACGCCAGCCTCTCTGCCTTTAGGCCTCTTCTTTGTGTCTTCCCTGACCTATTTGTTCTTCAGTGCTGCAGCTCATCTCTTTCAGTCTCACTCTGAGCATGCGCACTATTTTTTGTTTTTCTTGGACTACGTGGGTGTGGCTGTTTATCAGTACGGATGTTCCCTTGGACATTATTTTTATGCCTCTGAGCCGGCATGGAGAGACAGCTGCTTTGGCTCTCTGTTCCTGCCCGGCGCCGCTTTCTTGGGGTGGCTTTCCTGCGCCAGCTGCTGTTTCGCCAAATCCAGATATCGGCGGCCGTATCCCGTAGGTCGTAAAATTTGTCAGCTGATCCCCGCCACCCTCGCATATCTACTGGACATCAGTCCTGTGGTTCACCGGCTTTCAACGGCGTCCTGGCTGGAGGAGCCCTCACTGCCCTTCCACGCCCTCCAGATCGCGTCTTTACTTTTGAGCGTTGTCTTCTTCTCTTGCCCCATACCCGAACGCTTCTTCCCAGGCCGCTGTGACTTTCTCGGCCAAGGTCACCAGATCTTTCATCTGCTTCTGTCCCTGTGCACCCTGTTTCAGCTGGAGGCTCTCTTCTGGGACTATGTCGGGCGGAGGGATACGTTGGTGGACACATTCGGAGAAAGCCAGCTGTGGTGTGCATGTATATCCTTCCCCGCCCTGTTTCTGTTTTGCATTTTGACAGCACTTGTAACAATGAGGCACAAACAGAAACAACTACAGGGTCAAAAACGGAGAGACAATTAAGAGAATGGTGTGTATAAATAGTAATATAATAATAAAAACCAGCAATGAAATGTAAAATAAATGTGATGTATTACAAAAGACGAGTCATGGTTACTTTTAAATATGCAAAAAAGTTGACGTCTTATTCAAGCAAGAAATATTTGGCACAGTTGCAGAACACTCACCAAAGTTTTCCTCAATGAATCATTGCTGTCGCTGCTGCTGCTGAAGGAATCTGAGCTGAGCGAGTTGCCAGTGACTTTCCTGCTCTATAAAAGTAATTACCAGACATTTTTTGACATTTAAAAGAATTCATCATCTTATCTAATTTAAATTTTTTTGCCTGTTCGCGTGCAAAAGAAAGAAAAAAATAGCGTCATTTTTTTTTTCCCAAATTGTATTACATGATATTTTAAGCCACGAGTGGTGTGTAGATATTCTTTAGGAAATTGATGAAAGGCATCATGTTCAAGACAATACAGTCTGTAGTAAATAAAATGCAATGGGAAAGTAAAGGGGGAGTGTCCTGCAGTGGGTGTGAGATGATTGCTTTTGGATGGTGTGTGAGGAAAAGTATAAAACTGAGGATTCAGCGGGAGCAGGGGGGAGACTTATGTGAACTCCTTCAGCTTCTGCTTGAAGACAGTCTGCGACCTAAGGGCTGTAGGTTTGAAATGAAAGCACTGCGCTTTTTTACATGCCTTCATAACAACCTCCTCGAGGCTTATCGGAGACTGTGGACCGGCCTAATGAGGCTCGTCAGCCAAAATGCCAACGTCTGTTTTTGACCCATACTCCTCCCCAAGCACACAGCGTCTCTATTAAGCGGTGCAGACATGCTGGCCTCACTGTCTCCTTATCAGAGTCATTCAGAGAACAATACTGCTATTCATTCGAAAAAACGACAACAGCATGACTAAAGCAGATTTTTTTCAATGCCGTATTTGTCGGGAGTGTTTTCATAGAAAGTCAAATTGTCATCTTGGTGAAGTGTTTGATTTGCACATGCAATGTTCTTAGCCCTACTCAACGAGCTATCCCAAAACATCAACTCTCAGTCGGATTTTGTAAATAGCCGACGTTATAACCCCCGTGAAAGTACAATGCAATTCACTGTTGACTTAGTCTTCTTGCTTTTGCTTGGCGCACCTCAAACACGCAAGGGCGTGTCTGTCTGTACCAGTCAGAGGCTCATTATCCTTTCCTATGACTCCACAAATGAACAATGCTGAAGGTTCTGCTTCGGAGTAAAATCATACTTCATTCAAGGAAGCTATACCTTCCTGATGAAAGTATCCCTCGGTTGTTTTGACTGAGCGCGAGGCCTGAGTGTGACATTGATCTAGCAGAGCCAACAAATGCCGCTCCACCGAACAGCATAGGTGTCAAACTCGAGGCTGGGGGGGAGCAGATCTGGCCCACGACATCATGGTCCTATACGCGAAAGCATATCATGAGGGAAACCATAGCTACAATGTGGCCCATGACTGACCCACAGGATATGAATGCGGCCTCGTAAATTCGATTTTATAATCAGACGAGCTAAGGATTGTTTTGCCTTGATGGAGGTATGTGCTCTCCTGCGAGCTGTACTAGTTTATGAATGCACTTGCGAGGTCCAGAACGCTATGCGGCCCAAGAATGTGCACAGGTATCACTACATAGCTGAGCGGGTGTTGGGAGTGATAATTATGCTGCCTGCAATCAACTAACAATTTCCCGGGTTGCTGGGAATTTAATTGCAATTGTGTACAAAAGTAACATAGGCTGTCGTACAGTCCATATGGATTGAATAATTCTGTATCGTATATTTAATGATATGCAATATCGCGCGATTTAAATGCCAGGGTAAACCGCAGTGCTTGGAATGCGCGTGCAAGCAGGTATGTTGCAGGTGCAGAGGCGTTGCTCTCAGCTTGCGCATGAGTACAATGGGCTGGCTATGGGCCCCCGAGCACCTCCTTGAAGACAGGCAGGACACCAATGAAAACAAATCCCTCCTACAAGGACCTGCCCGTCGTGGCGCGTAAGATTGTGACAAGAGCTGAATGACTGGCAGCAGTTGGTGACACGCAGCAGCCAGTCAAGCAGCACACACTGGTGAGTGACATTTATTCTCCAGAGGGACACTTCATTGATGTGACAAAATGATCTTGTCGGATGATTTTTCTCAATGGCGGTCGATCATTTCTGTGTGATTTCCTCGCAGAGCTCCTCCGCGATGGCTCCGATTGCAATGGTCGATATGATGTCTTATTTTTCGTCTGCCGAAGTGGGCATCATCTCCCTCATCATCTTCCTCATCCTCAGCATTAGTCTGGTTGCCCTCTGCAATGACTGCCAGAAGTAAGTCAAGTCATCAATGGTGATCTCCTCATACACTGCCACGCATTTGAAGGCATGCCGGTTGCTTTGTGGATGAACAATCTCGACACCCCCCCCCAAAAAAAAACAAAAAATAGTAAAAACTATTACCTTTCACCTGATTTATTATTTCCATTCGAAAATGTGAGGCCTGCCGTGCGAGTTAACTCCTTCCAACGACAAAGCTGAGACTTGTCAGACTTGATCGGTGAATTTTGAGGGTAGGTGTTGCCTGTTCCAAAAGAAGGAAGCAGGCACGATTGGGGCTTTAAAAGTCTTTTAAGTATTAAAAATAATAATACAAAAAAGCCAAATGACATAACTTGGACCATGACAGTGACGTCTTTGCCAGTAGAGAAATGGCCCAGTTGTATGCACATATTTTGGAACACACCTATCTATGCATCCGTCTTTCCACACCTACCACTGCCAAACATACCAGTGACAGAGGCTCGGTCGGACTGAGGCAATGAAAATGCGCTCTTATCTGCCTCTTAGCGCATTCCTCGAGTTGTTTGTCATTCAAAAGAAGGAAATTGCTTTGGGACTAGAGAGATGGCGATCGTTTTAGTTGCATTCAGCGAAACGACTGCCACGTTCACAAGATCGCAAATATTTCACAACACCGAAGGAAGAGTCATTACGATCTATATCGAAGAATGAGCGATTCAACAAACTGGTTACAAAGACGATTGACCTTGGTGAGGATAGACTCAGCAGTCATTCTCAGGACAAAGATTTTATGTAGGAACTAAACAAACGTCGTACTACATTTTGGTCGCTAATTCTTTTGAGGCAAACCTCACACTAAATAGTACAACCAGGCAATTTTAAGCAGCCATTTAGCAAAGAAAGGTATCAAAGAAAACCATATTACACATAGTGGTGGTTTCTGGTTTGTGTCACCAAAACAAACAAACAAAAAAAAAAATCTTTGTTGACCCATTAACATGGAATCGTCAAAGAGAGCAAGCCATTTCCAACATTTTTAGACTATCCGACTAATAGTATTGATTTGTAAAAAAAAATGTGAAATTGACCAAATTTGGGTTTCTACCCCACAAAGAGCAGATATTTCTCCTAATTATATTTTTGCCGCTTCTTTTCAATAAACATTTGCAATCTATGTTTTGGCGGTCCAGCGCGCACAAATTCTATGGCACTGCAATGTCATAATGAAATCCCAAATTACCTCCCAATGGACATTAAGAGCAAAAAGAGAGGGTCAAAGGCATGAGTACAATTTCAAAGAGGCAGTGCCAAGTTTACGGTAATTATTGCAGTAGGGCACACGTGCCGAAGGGCCGGATCATTTTATGTGGCCCGCAAAAGCGAATCATGTGTACCAACTTCGATAATCCTTGCTAAAATCTGTCGCATCATGTGCAATTGTTATGTGCAATAAATAACATTGAGATTTGGCAATAACTTTGTTTCCCTGTTTATACTCATTTGAACAATAATTGCACGAGTGATTTCAAAATTAGTAATCCATCAATTTGTTGTGTACCAGTAATAATACGAGGAATCCTGATGAGTAAACATTTATTCGCTTTCACTGTCGTAACTCCAAAGTGGCCCGCAACTAAAATCAGTTTGACACCCCTGCTTAGGGGAACACATACAAAAAAAAAATGAAGGGTTGAGTAAAAGAACACATCAGGTATTTTTTCACAGATTCCGTGTAATTATAATGCAGTACAGTCAGTATTTCCAATTTATTTATTTATTTTTTTTAACTGGCCCTGTTACACGCATACACTCGAAATGACCCTCGGAGCAAGGCCTAACTTTGTTTGCTGCCATCTTCAGGGGCTCCGGCAACGCGTACAACGTGAACAACGGAGCCACGACGGTACGAACCCACTCGCTCTTCCTCCTCCTCTCACGTGTCACTCTGAATTCCATTCATGAATCGGCGCCCATTCGACGAGCAAGTTGTCACTCGGGAATCGCAACTGGCCAAATTTGCCACATGCGTTCAAGCGTGAAACTTTGTGCAAAGTGAGGCTTGAAATAACTTTTTTTTTTCCTTTGAGGGGCAATTTTGTTGAGCGGTTTAGTCATTTGAGAAGCACTTTTTTTTCAGGTTAATCTCAGGAGCAAGAGTTTTAGGAGCTTGTGTCAAAAGTCTTGTTCTATGCATCACCCGGCGCACTCATACAGTTATGGTCGCCAATAGTTTTTAGGTGGCATTGTTGATGAAAAAACGGACAACATGAAGTAGGACCGCTAGTTGTTTGTTTCACATCTTATGAAGTCATTTTTTTCTTCATACCGTATCCACGTCATGGACATGTTTACACTGTATTACGTGTTCATGTTTTTACATCTGTAAACGTTCATACTGCATTATACGTCGTAGTTGGCGGCCATTTTATTGGAAATGGTTACAACGAACTACCGTGATTAACGTACAGATTGGCAACGTCCCTCGAGGTACGTCGTGACGAGGTTCGACGCTAGTAAACAGGAAATACTTAAAGCCGAGGCGCCACACAATTTTTGCTCCGCGTAGCACGCTCGGGAGCGCAAAGGGACTTTCCGCGGTGAAATGAAAAGAGAGCACGCGCGGCGGCATTCATTGTTCTGATTCATTTCACACCCCCCAGAAAAAGCATCTGATAGACTTCACGCTGAGCAAACACACAGGGTGATATGCATTCCATTTGAACTTAGTGTGTCTTAGATCGGATCACTACCAGACCAGCTAGTTTCAAATAGGAGTTTGCTTCAGAAATCGACGTGAAGCACAGTCACAATACAGTTTTGGGACACCGGCACCAAATATGGATATTGTTGCTGTCCAATCGAAAAAAAAAAAAAAAAAAAGCAAACCTATGTGATCGCCCCCATGCGTGCCATGTCAACACCGATCAATGCAAAACAGGTTTGGGTGGTCTTTGTTTTGTTTTTTTTTCCCCCCTTGCTCCTGAGAAAAAAATGTGTGTTATTCTGACTTTTATGGTCAAATTCAGAGAGAACAATGTTGAGCTTGAGATCTTTTATTTTATGGCGTTTTGTTTGCTTTATATCCAAGACCGGCCGCTTTCCTTCAGTTGCGTACTGCGGAGATTGTGATCGTTGATATCATGACAAAAGTTTGAATTCCGCGTTCCACTTTGGAGCCGTATTTATGAGGAGGTAGAATCCGGTCGGATTCCAGACGGTACAACTTGATGGGTGTTTGACTTTTGAGGTTGGACTGCAATTAAAAGTAGACAAACAAAGCTGTCGCCAGTCAGGACAAGGTGGGGTCTCACGTGCATGCTAACCCGCAATAATTTCATTGTTCTTTATCTTTATGACAGGATGGCAGAGGTAAGTTATGTCATGCAATCCAACTTTTTCCTCAGTTAGGTCAACGAAACAGTTGTTTTTTTTTAACTTGCTCACATTCTCTTGCCAATTTCCAGACTCAAACTATCCAACATGGAGGAACCATAAAAACATGCCTCAAAATACTCTGCAACGATCGGCCAACGCAGCCCACTAAGCCCCCGCTTTGCAATGCTCCGCCATGTTGTTTAAAGCGGCACCGGTTTTTAAGGGACAGAGATGAGGACAAATTAACCGTGAACGTTCCTTAGAAATGAAATCCAGTTTTCCACTGTTGGCTCGGTCCCAAATGGACAAATGGACACAGGGAGGGGAGGCAGGTCACGGGTCGGCTTCAGCTTACTGTCAGGCCTTTCTCTTCATGGCACAAAACACTCTCAAATCGAATGTCGCATCAAATAATATCAAAACGCATCGTGGACAGACTTAGATCGTAACCTGACCCAAAGTAGGTCAATGTTCCTGATGTTGACTACTAAGTTGGTTATGAAAAAAAAAAACCTCACATTGAAACAACACTTTTGAATTTGTGCCGCATTATGAATTAGGAAAATAAAAATGCATCACAGAAAGAGCAGAAAGACATTTGAGTGAAGTGCAGTCACGCTTCATCAGTTTGCCAGTTGGCATGTCATTTTTAATTGAGACGTTGAGTCACCAAGTATCCTGACACCTTCCAAAGTCATCCACCTGCTTGTTCCTGAGGGTGAAATGGATTTTACAGTGACCAACCAAAACAAATATTCTTGAAACAAGATTAAAAGTAACATTTTCTAGCAGTGGTTAATCCACGAGATAATCTCGCAGGAAACTCATTTGTGGCCATTTATTTTTTGTCAGGAAGCTTTTTTGTTGTTGTTGTTTTTTTTTTTTTTTGTTTCCCATTTTCTGTACCTTTTATTATTATTTTCTTTTTGTGTGTGTGTGGAAAAACAACAACCAATTACTTGTGATGTGAGGAAACAAATCAAAAAGCGTTTCTAAAACGGTGCCTCAAATTTGATGACTAAAAAGATTTGCGCTATAGGGGATCTGGTCGGGCATTTAAAACAATCCTGCAAGTTTTTTTTTGTTCTAATGCGTTTGTTATTGTTCTGCTAACCATAGAGTAAGTTGTTTTTGGATATGTTATACATGTGTTCGTTTGTCTTCAGAAAGGGGGTCGTTTAAATCTTCGGTGCTGCTTTGCTTTCTTTTGATGCATACAGCTGTTTGCATTTGTATTCCTTTTTTGTTTTGTTTAATCTTTTATCAAATATTATAATAAATCCTAATTTGATATTCCTATGTGTCTGTTGATGAATATGACGACGTAATGGTGCTTATTTGATGCGTGTCTTTTTCAGGCTCAGAGAAGACGAGCACTCGAGAAAGTGTTGTCGATGGCCTCGTTTTAATTGGAAAAACTTGGGAGTGGCGACTTGCCTTGATGAGAATTCACGGCGAGGGTGGGGTTGCTATTCTTGCAATGCCACTTTTCATACCATGTGGGGTAGAACTACTACTCGGCTCGAGTGTCGAAATACAACACACCCAAGTGACAACAATCCTCCAGGCCATTGGTATGCGGAGCAATGCGGCAATGTTGTTTTCGGCCGCTGGAGGGCAGCAGAAACACGTATCGCAAAAAGATTGACGTGGCTAGACCGACACACGGGGCGTTTTTCTTGAGGGCCCCCACCAGTTTGTAGTGGAGCACATACTATGCGTCCCAGTTGGGAACACGCCAGCACCCTCAAGTCACTGCGTCACACGCAATTGTTATCATGAATGAACAACGAGGTGGAACAACTGGACACCATGATTAGTACCCCTTGGCTTCTGAAAACAAGTACCTACTCCAATGTAAGTAGCCACTCACCCCATTACAACCACTTTTTTCTTTTTATTATTATTATCTTTTTGGCATGGTCACAAAAATGCTGTATGGGTTGGAAAGTGTGGCGTAACACCTCATCCTTGTGGCATTTTTGACATAATATCAATTAAATACCGCGGAAATATTCAGGTCAAACGATTATTTTTGAGGCGGGGGTGGACCTGGATCTGGTTGACCTCAGAGATTTCAAAACAATACCACAGGAAATAATAGAAGTAGGAATAACATGCCGCTGTTTTGCATGACTTTTACGATCTGTCTTTTTTTTCCTGTTGCCGGTCGGTATGAAGTGCTGAATGGGTTGGGTTGTATCTGAGCCGTAACAGAGGCGGAGCGCCGTCTGCCATGCGTAAAAGGGAATGACGGAAAGGCGGAACTTGGGTGTGATTTTTGGCACTTGAGACGGTGTGTTTATAGCAATTGTCAAGGTCCAACAAATCTTCTCGACATTACTCTGACACTGACGTACGCCCGTATCCAATGATCTCATTGCGAGACCAAAAACAGTACCGTGTTCTGCTCTTTCTGGTCAGTAAACATACAGTCAGTGGCACAATCCGGGGCAGTCTTGGCGCCTGGGTTTAAGTTATCAGTGTATCAGTCCGAACAACTGCACACCCCCCCCCAAAAAAAAAAAAAGTTGCCTCTGGGTTTGAAGACCTACGAGCTGCTCAGCAAAGCAAAACTTTGTAAATCTTCTGGAGCTAGCGATAAGTTGATCCTACTAGAATCTTCTGATCCGTAGTTGGGTGTTATCCATTGCACCACTCACCTCACACATTTTTAATTACTTGTATTCAATTAGTAAGGTTTCTGGAGTGCCTGACCACCAATCAAGTGTAATTTTGAACTAATGTAGTCCCACATACTGTAAGACGGCCCCCAAACTGAGTTTTTCCTCCCTTGAAATCCACAGCAAGGCTGAGGGAAGGTCATCATGTGAACGCCAACAGGAGAGCAGATTAGCATTAGCTATAGGCCCTTCCAATCCTGATTTCTGCAACCCCTAAACCAGACAAGTCTGGGCCCACAAATATGCAAGTGCACAGAGGATCAACTCGATGTAGTTGAGCCCGCCCAGACTTTGGGCCAGCCGGGCGCACCTCTCGAGCCCGAGCCTTGAGTTCGGGCTCCATCACATGCACAGCCCAAAGAGACAACTTGGGTCCCCGCTTTGCATAAACCCACCGCCTGTAGCGAGGGCCAAGAAGGTGGAATGCATGATGATGACCTCGAAGGTCAATCCCGGCTACAGAAGCCGGCTCTCGGTACGTGAAAAGTCACATCTGTGGCAAGTTGAGAGGTTACGACACGATGTCGTCGAGCTCGCCTTGCCATGCGGCGTGCATGCTGGTTCCCATTCTGTTGAGAGGCGTTGGACTCGATTGTATCATTGAATTACCCGAGGTAAGAGGTGCAGCGCAGGTGTGTGCATACTTATTGCCCGTACATGTGTGTTCACCCTGGAAAACAAGAGTGTAGCCTGCTGTATCTTCAGGTGAGAAGACCGGACCTGATTGTTTTTTTTTTTCTGCTTATGTACCAAACAGCAGCTCAGACTATCCACCGGTTGTAGAGTCCTTAGAGGGAATGCTGAAAGGTGCTCCTCATGGGGGCCGCTGACTCTTTAATCTTTGGCGACGTAGCCAGTGTGCGGTGAAGAAGAGACTTGACTAAATGTCACTCTCGATTTGTTTACTGCGAAACGATGACGTGCACTGTATTACTCAGTGAATAACCACACCCACTCCCTCCGTGCTGAGTGATTAGCACGCTGCAAAGAATGACATGTCGCGCAGAAAATGAGTCTGCTTCGAGTGATTCATTGGCTGCAAAAGAGGGACATGTGTGTCACGCGGTCACAGAATTTGCCCTGGGTGATTCGAGACGGTTCGTACTTGTTGGAATCTGCTTTCGTCGGCATCTGCTCTCTGAGCTAAGGGCTCATGTTGAGTCAAGCCAGAAGAAAATAAACTCCTGCGTGGCCGTCGCCATTGGGTTGTGCGTCCCCATTATTTTGACAGACTACATATACGGTTGGAAGGAGAGGAGATGGGGATGAGAATAAATGGGAGTTTGTGGGGCAGGCCACAAGTGTGTGAGGCTCTGTTTTTATCCATCCATCCATTATCTGGACCGCTTATCCTCACGAGGGTCGTGGGCATGCCAGAGTCTATCCCAGCTGTCTTCGGGCAGCTGGCGGGGTACGCCCCGAACTGGGTGGCTGTTTTCAGTGGGTTTAAAATACATTTAAAATAATAATTACAAATGTTGAGAGGTATATTTGGATGAATAAATATTGTCTCTGCCCCCCCCCCCTTTACTCTGTGCCTCCATTGCAGGGGCCTCAAACTCATTTTTGCTGCGGAACAGATCCTTGACTCCTTATAAAAGGAACTCGGACTGTAATGACTGTGATTTGATTTGTAACATAACTGAGATATATTTTTCAAAAATAATTTCCAGTTGAATCCATATATAGCAACTTTTATTTGCATATACGTCGCCGTGTTTTCACACGTGCAATGTATTTGGGATGATGTTACTGAGGATATGTTTCAGCTAGAGGGGGGGATCCCATTCTGCAGTCTCTCTGGTGAGGTCTTTAAAGTGTTCTGGAGAGGAAGGTCTGTCGCCAAGTTGTACCTCCGATGCAATGGACTAGCTGTACACCACTTGCAGCAGGGTTCTAGAAGGTGCACGTGTTTGCCCAACCAGTCTAGACGCTTTGTAGATTTGGAGAAGGACTTCCAGTGTCCGTGGGCTGAAATCCAGAAAAGCTTCCCTTTATCACGGATTTTGTGGTGTTGAGGCCTTGAGGGGATCAGGGTTGGTGGCCTCTGTATTGTTTCTCTGCTCTGCGGTTTAGTTGGTTTCGTCAAGTCGCAATCTTCACCTCTCGCTGAAACGGTTTGCACCCGCATAGGAAGCGTTTTAAAATGAAAACGATGGCCTCTAACAAATGCTATCTATGCTGTTGACATGAAATCATCTTGATAACAACATTGTCAAACAAGTCCAATGTTAGTGGGTGTCATTATAGTGCCACTGAACCAAAGGAACTGCGTCTGGTGTAGGGATGAGATTGGGACTAGGATTGGTTTCCTCTCCTTCTTTGTGAGTGCAGTGCTCAGACCAGAAAATCTCTGCTGACTGCATGTCTGGCAGAGAGGGTGCAGACAGTCGACACTAATCTGCTCGCTTGCGCTCGTGCGCTCTCTCTCTCTCTCTCTCTCTCTCTCTCTCTCTATCTCTCTCTCTCTCTTTCTGTCTCTCTCTCTTTCTGTCTCTCTCTCTCTCTCTCACACACACACTCAGGTCAGTCGCATTTGATCTCCCTGTGGGCAACTCATCATGCTTTATGGGGTGAAGAATAAAATAGGAGACAAAATCCTCTATGCTCATTGACTGTATATGTAATTGTATCCACATATTTGGCCATCCAATCTGAAATCTTTTTCGATGAGCATTGATCTTCAGAACACAAATAATCAATTCTCAGTGGCTGACATGCTACTTTGTTCACTGACCACAACATACAGAGTTCCATACAATTGGTTGGCAAGCCGTCCAGAGTGTACCTTGACTCTCAGGCAAAGTCAGCCGCCCCCTGAGTTGGCTAAAAACCTCTGGATTTTGCTGCTTAACTCATATTCCACAAAGGCAGTGTTAATCAAATTGCTGTGTTAAGTGGCGGTGCGTAGAAGACATTCCTGTCAAGACAATTTTGGGGTTGACATCCCCTTTAACTCTGTAGAACTTTTTCATTTCACTTTTTTTCCAATTCAAGAAATGTAAAAAGTGTGATTACTTGTAGCATTCAACTTTTATTCCATTTTTTAATTGAATGTATTTGATTGATAAAATATGCAAGGACCAAAACGGAAAAAACAAACAAACGTGCATCTGACTGCAAATGGCCTCCTGGCCAGACTGTGGAATCATCCACTTGAGTCTACTACTACTTAACTGTCGCCGACACTTACTACTACGACTTCGACTATTAATAACAATAATAATAATAATCTGTACTCTTTGAGTGGTTCGTGGGTCCTGAATCCAAAGCATGTCGGATCAGCAATGATTCCGAGCTAAGCCCTCACGGCCGTACTTCGTATGTTGCTATGAGGTCTGCGTGGCCAGCTGTCAGCCCGGCATTGCTCCAGCAAACAGACACACGTAGACTCACGTAGCACAGACCAACCCCCTTCTTCCTTTCCTTCCCCCGGCACTCTGCTCTGACGGCCGGTGAGCGGCGGGATCGGCAACGGCCGCCGCCACAGCGACAAAGGGGACAATTCGACCGTCTCGAATCGACGAGTAAGTGCAAGAATGTTCGTTTTTCCGCCGCGCAAGATTGATTGAACACGGTGCATGCAAATACAGTATTGTTTTGCTCGAGCTGCGTGGCTGAAGGGGAGGGGGTGGGGTTGCGTGGCCGGCTGGAGACCAGTGATGTCGTGCAACTTTGCCCACGCAAATGCGAAATATTGTATTTTGTCATCCATTAGGCGTCGACTCATGAAAACAACCAGTGTAAACAAGGGGTTGGGGGGGAGGGCGCATGTATTTGAACTTGCGTTCGACATTAAGATTCCAATTTTCTCGCAACTGCGTCGAATTTGCCGCAGAATGCCAACAAACGTGCACGCTGTGTGATAAGAACGTTAGTGCATTCGTTTTGAACTATTCTCTTCAATTTTGAATTCCAGTCGCATTTCATCAGCCTAACGGGGCTTTGGCTGATGACGTTATTTTTTTCACCCCGTTCTAGTCACAATATTGACACGCGCGCGCTTGCTTCGCTGTTTTTATCGACGTGTGATTTGCCACGCTGGTGATCTGACGTATATTTTATGCGAATTAGCGTGAAAAGACGGTTATTTTCGGCACAATCCCAACGTCCAGCACAGCGCCTCCCGGCGAAACTCGTGTCGAAACACGTTGTCAGAAAGGGGGTGTGTGCCCAGAAATGAAGGACTAGCCAATCGGTGGAGGCGCCCGCCCATGTTTATAACGCTTGTTTATTTCGCATACTCGAATGTGATTGGTCGAACGCCCTGGCACTCTCGGCCATTACGCCGCATTCAGGGGCACACAGGGAGGTGGGAAATTTGATTGAAAGCCAAATGGCTTCATTAGTTGAGCCAACGACAAGAGTAGTGTCTCCCAAATGCTATTTCGCCGAGTTCGAATCAAAATTCAGCACTCTACTGTGACCGAATTAAACATTTTCTCATATGATTCCTTTGAGACCAGTTGCTTGCAATGCAAAATGTAACCGTGCAGTATACCAAATGCAGATTGCAGCCACTTTATCGCATCTCATGTTGAGTTCAGCTCAAAAAGAACGCCCGTAGAAAATAGCTTAAACTTGGTCAGAAATAAATAAAAAATAATGTCGTTTATTCTTGATCACCGCAACAGCAAATCTGTGTAGGGATGAAGTATGTTCCATGAAAAAAACAAACATTAAAGTTAAGGACTGGAGAAAGATGTACTTTGTAAATACAGCCAGACCTTTGAATAGCGCTTTGTCGATGCTGCCGACTCTTGGGTTGCCTAACGTAGTCGTTTGCACTTCCATTTCACCCTTGCTTCTGACAGGTCATAATGAATCATAAGATGACATCTAGCCAACATGTTGTCTGTCACGTAGTTGGAGAGAACAACTCAAAGCTGTTACATTTGGCCATGATATCTGAATATTGGTTGTCTTCAGATTCCTGCAACAAAGTTCAAATTGTGATGGAATGACTGCTTTGGGGAATCCCGCAAGACCTGACGCAGCCAATCGTTTAGGTCAATAACCTTCAGCAGACCAAACTTAATACAGTATTTATTAGCTCATTCCAATAAAATCCTATTCATCGCAGAGATTTTTTTTTGTGGGAGAGGGAGGCCTGTGTTTCCACGAATGTTCTATTACAGAATGTTACATAAACTCAGTGAAAAGGAGCGCACCATAAATCTTCCACATGAATTTCTCATTATTTGTCACTTTACTGCCTTTCGTTCCTTGAGGCAGAACTTGTGAGCAGACACGCCGAGATGTCATCGTGCTGTCATCAGACTTGTCCAAGTGTGAACTTTAGAACTTAATCACAAACATGTCGTTTGCAACTGAAGATCAGTTAAAAGTCAAGGGTGAACGTAGAATGACTTTGGGGAAGCAGAAACCATTTAAGATGACTTGGGAGTTGCATTGTGGGGAATTTAAGCGTGCCCACACCCCCGCTCACACAGAAAAACCTCTGAGGTCCAACAAGATCCGTTCCTGGATGCTGGACACCTACTGAATCGTGAAATATTTCACAACATACACCACATTTACCCATAGCAATAATATAAAGTTACTGAAGCCATTTCAAGTTTAACTGTGGCCATGATAAAATCTTTTATAAGTAACCAAGACAATGTTTTGAGTAACATTTTAGCATTCGGTGCGCGCGCGCACACACAAAATAGTTATCCGCTCAGGATATTAATTAATATACAGTAATCAAAAAGCGGACCAGCGCGGTAGTTACCATGCAGCGTGAGGGGGCGGGGGTTGGCGATGCACGTGGCTTTGTTTAATGATTTACGCGTCTCACTTTGTAGTGTACATTCCGTTCTTCTTTTAATATTGATGTGAGGTTATTGTTGCATCAGCCGTTTGTCGTAATCAGCAACCTCGAAAGAGAATCATTTTTAGTCTGTTGATTCATGAAGGTAATTTCCATGCCTTGTATTGCATGTTTGTAAATATTTTGCTTGCTTCATATGTCATCTGCTTTCTGTGGTTGTGTCACCCACAGGGCGTTTGGACATTGCGCTTGACTGCTGAGTCCCCACACTGCACAGCAGCAGCACCATGGCAGCTACGAGATCCAAGGACAGAGTTGAGTCCGAGCCAGGCGGACTGGCAGCGGGACTGCAGGCACGCGTCTCGTACACGCGTGACGTCGACGATCCTGACACGCAGCACAACAACAATGCGGTGAGAAGACAGATTGAGATCAGTTTCCCCATGATTCGAATGAACATTTGGAGCTCAATTGGAGTTATGTTTTTCTTCGAGCTCTTTTGTGGTATTGGGGAGCGTTTCACTGTACTTTTGAGAAGCAGAAAAAAAACAGGTCTACGTAGGTCTTGCATTGGATTAAATTAGACGGCGCACGTGCTTATACGGTAATCATTTTCTTTATTTATTGCCTTCACGTCCTGCTGCTAGTTATAACTCCTCTAGTGGAGAAAGGAAGCGACGCCACACTAATGGAATCATCCTTTCTTGGTCCTCTGTTGCTGCCTAGTCAGAGGTTGGCGCTCGCCGCCTTTTGGTACCGCCCCCATTGTAAGCCATATTGTCCGCAGGCAGGACACCACAGATGGGCAGGAAATATCTTCTCGACGGCGTTCTTTGCGGCCGTAGCAAAACTCCCCAATTCTGAGGTTTACGTCATCAGCTTAACTGAAAGAACCGGTGCAAGGCCCCGGCCCGCAGGAGAGTTGAACGATGGCGCTGGCATATAAGTGTCGTTTTTGAAGCGACTCAACACTGACAGAACGGCTCATTTGCAATGTTTCATCTTTGAACCTCCCATGAAGATCTACGCGGAGAACTGCATCCGAGATCCGTTTGCGGACAGAAATGTTCACAAGAACAACACGGTCTACCCGCAAAATGAGCTGGAGCGAGGCTGGCGCATCGGGCCCGCTCCCCTGCAAACAAGGGCCCCTGCAACGGACCCACTCGTGGTATCAGCTAGAGAGCCGGCATACAGGTGAGAGATCTGTCGCACTGTGAGAATTAGTGAGAGTGGGCCCGAAGAGTCCGACTGCAACCTTAGCTCTCTTGTCTCCAGTTTCCGTAGCCCGGAGTCAGTGGAGATGGATGAGATCATGGCGGCCATGGTGCTCACCAGTCTGTCTTGTAACCCCGTGGTCCAGAGTCCACCGCAGACAGAAACCGGAACAGGTCTGTCTCCCTTCAATTTGGGAGTTGAACAATTCCATCCATCCGTCCATTTTTGATCGCTCTTGTTCTCAGGGGTGAGCTGGAGTCAATCACAACAATTAGTTTCAACTGACAGGCGGAGGACACCCCGGACTGGTCCGACAATCAGTTGCAGAACACATAGAGACAAATGACCGTTTCGCACACGTGGACAATTTAGAGTCTTCGATCAACTAGCATGTATGTTTCTGAAAGCAAGTCGGAAGTCCCTCGAGAAAACCCACGCAAGCGTATAGAACGCGCAAAGTGGAAATTGTCATGACGTTACATTCAATAGCTGACATTAAAAATTCTGGAGTGGAACAATAGCTAATTTGCATAGCTCGATAAAGTTCCAGCGTCTAACGAACTCACTCTGCGCAGGGTTATTACCCTATTTGAATGAAATTGCTTTAGTGTGCGTTTATCTTCCCTTTTTCAAATATTTAAACAAAGTAAAAATAGATGTTGGCGAAGTGGCAAATCAAATATAAATAATGAAGGAACCGAGGTTTGGAACAAAGGGAAGAAAATATGATGGTAAATCTGTTTGGAGAAAGAGAAGAACATCACAACCTTGGCACCCGTGCGGGACACCTGCTGTTCTCTGTAGGATGGGCAGAGTAGAAAGCAAGAGAGCATTTCCACAAGCGCGCTCTCGAAATTTAACGGTGAATTTGAATAACCACCCCTTTTTATAGTTTCTTCTGGATTCCAATTCGGACTTGCCCGTATATTTTACTAGCCCATAACTTGTGTTCAGTGTGGTGCCAAAAGCTAAACGGCGATTCTTTCCTCTTGTAGTTGGCCCCTCATCGTCCGCCGACATGGAGTGCGGCGGCGGCGAGCTCTCCGACAGCGGCAGCAGCGGCTACTGGAGCTGGGATCACGGCAACGTCAGCCCGGCCCCCTCGCCGTCCGTCCCGGAGATGGATAGCAGCCCCGATGAAGGCCTGAACATGGAGCTGGAGCAGGGGGACGGCGGGCTTCATGCCAAAAAGCCAAAGGTACGCACTTGTGCCCCACTGACATTGATTTTTTTCCCCCCAGCGTTTCCCATTATCTATATCAGGGGTCACCAACGTGGTGCCTGGGAGATGAAAATGTATAACAGCAACATCATCCATCCGTCCGTCCGTCCGTATGGACACATCTGAGGGAAATTCAGTTGAATATCATTGAAGTTCAACATAGATTGAGATAAATAAATTGGTCGCGCGTTGAATTTTAATCATCCAGTGTCGTCACAATTGCGCCCGAGACGCTATCCTGCGCCTTCGCTGAGCATTTTCCACGCTGTCTGTCACAGAGCTCTTTCAAAGGCTTGTACAAGTGTCTGTGGCCCAGTTGTGGCAAGGTGCTCACATCTTCCGTCGGAATAAAAAGACACATCCGAGTGCTGCATTTGGGGTGAGTTTGTCTCTTTTCCAGTTCAAAGCGTTTTGTATCGAAATTGGTGACAACCGTTGTTTCCCCGTTTAGGATGAAGAGATATTGCGTGTTGTTTTTGCTCTATGACGGATTTGTAGGAACAACGATGTAAGAATGCAGTACATTGTACTTTTTTTTTTTTTCTTTTAAGTCACTTTCCATTTTCGTTCTGTGGGAACCTCACCATTGTGGGCCGCTGCAGACAGTTGAGCTCAGATTATTTCTGAGCTGGAAAACAGCATTAAAAAAACAGGAGGGGATAAAAATTTGAACTGGTGGAGGACTTAGGAATTCAACGTGAGGAAAGTTTTGGAGATTTGATATCTGGGCCACAACGTCTTTTTTTTTTTTTTTTTGTGGCTAACGGCGACTTTTTTTTTTTCTTCCACTCGACAGCAGTGGGTCAGATCAGTCACAGAGAGAAGAGGACTTCTATTTCATGAAGATATCCTGTGAGGCCACAGACACCAGCGCCGCACTCGTTCCCGCCCAGCAGGCTTTGGGCCAAGCGTCGGCTCTCGGCTGGGCCTCGTGCAGCTCGCCAACCGGTTTGGCTGTTCAGATCCCGCCCGCGCACAGGCCAAGGTCCAACTCGAGCTCCGGCCTGGGCGCAAGCAGGCCCACTCCGCTCAGTCAGTCAGCCCCCAGCAGTTTCTGGCAGATCCACACAGAGCATCTCTATCAGGTCAGTTTGGAGAACCGACATTGAGCTTTCAGCCATGAACAGTCTGCAAACAACAACCATGATGCGGCCATTCCATCTCAATGACTTGAATGACCTTAATGTGGTGTCTTCTTTGCAGGCCTGTAACCCCGCCCAGGCACCTTCAGTCCCCCGAAGTCCAGCGTGCCACACTTTGACCACGCCCGCCGCGGCCCCTGGCCACAATAACACTCAGGTGGGTCTCGGCAGCCCGGATCTGCCCGTCTGTCGTTCGGTCATCCAGTTGTGCAGCCGAAAACGGTTTGCCAGTTGAATGTTGCTTGATGGAGTTGATATTGTCCGGGTTGTGTTCCGTTTGTGACCAACAGGTGGCATGGGGAGGGCTTCTCCTCCAGCGTCGTTTCTCATGTTGGTTTCTTGTTACGCAGTTTGTGCCGTAAACATTATACGCGAGAGCAGTGGAAAAGAATAAAGGGGATGTTGTTTGCTTCGAGGCCTTTGTTATTGGGTTAAGAGAATGGATCTTTTCATCCGCGCGCTGAAAAAGGGTCTTGCCCGCGGTCCTCCGTCTCCTCTAGATGGTGAAACCTCGCTGCCGCTCTGTCAGCGTCGGGGAGCAATGGCTGCAACAGAACAGGCTCCAGACAATGAGCGCGTCACCCTCGCGCACTCACTGCTCCTTCAGGTGAGACGCCGCAAACGTCCGTCAGCGTCTGCCGCCGCTCCATCGACGCATCCCGCCTGTCATTAAAATTTTCAACGGCGCCGAAGCGCGCGCTGTCCAAACACCTCTCACGCCAAATGACAACATAAGCCGTGCAGAGTCTGCCGAAAAGTCAATAGCCATTTTCGTTTCGGTCGCCGCAAGATATATATTTGGCTTTGGCAGTTGATGAGATTGGCTATCACAACGGCGGAGGAACAATGAATCAGACGTTTGAGAAATGTTGTCCAAACCGCAAAGGCCCTTCAGCACACTTCACTTGGCTCGACAAATTGTCATGTTTCATGACACAAGGTGCGTCTGCAATATATTTGGAACTGAGCAAATCTAGACTCTGTCCTGTTATGAACCATTCAAACCGTAAAAGTTGAAGCCACGCCACTTAAATTGATAGTCAGTATCCATTTCTAAAGTCGTGAAGGAGAAAAAGTGAAAAGCTTTACATTAAGAAACGCTTCCCGTGCTCTGTTGCCGGGTAAATAAACCTGCTTCTATATGTTATCAATAAACTATGCTAATCCTGATTGGAGCCGAGACTGCTTGCAAATGATTACTTTAGTCAACACACCCCGCCCCCCCTTGAATTGATTCTTCTGAAATGCTTTGACCTTAATGCGATCATCTGCGAAATAGCAACCACGACTCGGTGCGTCACTGTTGGTTTCTGATTGGATCTTTCATTTTCAAACTACTTTTCATTCTATTAGACACGCGCGGAGATCGATACACATATATGAGTGTCCCGTTTCATTGACAGGAAAGGTCGCGGGGAGGCCAAGAAATGTCGCAAGGTCTACGGAGTGGAGCGAAAGGACCAGTGGTGCACTGCCTGCCGCTGGAAAAAAGCCTGCCAGCGCTTCCCCGACTAAACAGCACAATGGATGGATGCATGGATGGATGGATGGATGGATGAGTGGATCGATGATAAAACTCAATTTTATCATAAGAGGATATCGTGTATAGAGCAGCCATTGAGAAAATGTTGGTTACTTTCCTTTTTTTTTTTAATCTTTTTTTTTTTTTTTTTTATACATATAATGTCTTTCATAAGCCGCCTCCAGACAATTTGTGATGAGAATTCCAGAAATCACTATGGGAAAATCCAGGCTAGGAGCTGTTTAGGAAAAGGCAAACAAAAAGCGCTTTGACAATGGCTGCATCCGTTCTTCATCTCTTTGGGGTCGCATTTCAGGATTCCGATTCCTCCGGCCATTTATGAATTGTCTTTTTATTGTTCCCGTGGGAAATGAAGGTTTGTGTATGTTTTTACCTGTCGGTCTGCCACGGTGCGAACTGTTGACTGACGTTGATCACGTGACGTACTCGGCCTACAATACTCTCCAAAGGTCATGGAACTGCAGCCCTTGTGACCCTGTCGTACAGTATTAGACGGCTTAGATTGCTTGTTTGTTTAATCCAATCCTCTTCCAGTGGTTTCCGATGTCTAGTATCTTGTGCGCTTTGAGCTACGGTACGTACGAGTGTTTTGTACCTTTTTTAAATGTCTCGTTAAGCCTAAATTTGTTGCAATTTTTTTTTTTCCCTCCCATGTTTACGGCACTTTGGTGGAATATAAAATCACAGGAATAAGCTACGGTAAATTTGGTTTCATTTAACCAGATTGATTCCATAAAAACGGATTCTCTTCCTGCCCATGTTGGCAAACAACCAATGTTGGTGGTTGTTTGGAGTGTTTACGGCAATAAGAGTTTGCAAAAGCAATAACAAAAAAAAAAAAAAAAAAAAGGAAATGCAGTATATTGTCACACAAAAAAATTCAATAAAAGCACTCATAATTTGAGACATCGTTTTCTCTTCTGCATGACAGTCCACAAAACAAATAGCAAACTATTTTATTCTCGATTTTTTTTTCTATACACATTTTATGACGTCTTACAACAATGATTTAATGTTAAAAATTCTTAAAATTTACATTGTATCCACAAATGTCATTTTGAGATGCGGGTGTAGAGAAGCATGCACACATGCAGGTGCAACGTTTCTCAAACACGCTCCACACACACACAGGCACACACTCACGCGCACGCGCACACAAATACACACACTGTACAGACGTCATTACATCTCAAAATACACGATTAAGATGTTAAACAATGGCTGTGAAGGAAAATAAATGTTTGTTTTTTTTTTTTGGTACAATAATGACCGTGGCTGACATGCACTGTTAATTCCTCCCCTTTGCTCTTTAACAATACATTAGAATGGCGTCATTTAAAACTCCTTTGCCTTTGCACGGTGTGCCACACACCCAATGATAGGCCCAGGCCATTTCCAGCTCCATTGACCTCAGTACAAATGAGGCTCTCCTTACTTGGGCATTCCACACAACAATAAATTGGGCTTCCTTTTTTTGTGTGTGTGTCTGTGTGTGTGTGTGTGTGTGTGAAAGGGAGCAGTGTGGGTGTTTTGCAATTACGACAGTCGGGCCAAATCTGCAAACTTTTGTTATAATTAATATATTTTTTTCTTTCCGAGCGAATTCAATAGCTGAAAACCCTAGCAGGTCATTTGGTAAAACTTTCTGAGGCGGAAGGAAAAGTTCCAGGAGATAACTATGTAATTTGCGCCTAATTACACAGACAAGAGAGTTCCGAGCCAATGGTTTGTTGTTCTTTGTAATCTCGTCGTGATTGCAGTACCGAAGAAAAACATCCACATGATTGCATGCGGTTCATAGCATGCATCCTTTTCAGCCACTAGAGGGCAGTGTTATTTCACCTGTAAATCATGCCTTGGACCATAAAGCGGCATTTTTTGGGGGGGGGGGGTCTGAATTTGAAATGAGATGCAGTGGATGGTTTAAAAACAAACAACCCTATTTGATTCGTTGCCTTTAACTAAAAGTGACGATTCAATATTGTGGTTTCATTGGTCCAAACTGGCGCACTGAGGGCAATTTTAAGTACAACTAAAAAAAAAAAAAAAAGAATGGTTGGAGACTGTGAATTGCAGACCGCACCACTTGTCTGAGTTTGGGAATTGCGAGACGTACACCAGAATGTCAAACTTCCAAGTCTAGACATTTCAATCGATTCAACACAACTAATGAGAGCGAGCCGGGCTGTCGGGGTTCCCAAAATCGAGTGCAAATGACTTTTAAGTACCATTCATGAGAGCCCAGTCAAACGTCACACCTTGTTTTTCTGTTTTTCCAATCTCATTTGGCCTGTCTTGCTGGTTGCACCGACACACAAAAATCTATTCAATTGCACTTCTCTAAATTCTTTTATTTCACAGGACGGCATGATAAATATTGATCACGGTCAAAGCATTCCTCGTAAGTTTTACTGGTTGGACACAAAGAGCCGACGACGATGGTGGAAGTCACAGTTCAGACTGTTGAAAAGATGAGTGGTTGAGGTATGCGTAGCAGGATTTTGGGCAACGTGTTTACAGTTTGTTTTGCCTCCAGGCTCTTGTTACCGGGGAGAAGTTGAAGCGGCCGCTGCGGCTGCTCCTCATGCCGAGGTACTGCCTGAGCAGCTGGTTGACCCGTTTCTGACTGTTCCATTTTCGGGCAGATTTGCGGACGCCAATGAAGCCTCCGTAGCGCTTCTGGAGGTGTCTCGCGGGGGAGCCAATCAACTTCCTGTAACCGTGGCGCCCCCGCTGAAAGCCGCCGAAGCGTTTCGATAAGCTAACGGCCTCCGAGCTTTCATCCCGCTCGCTGACGTTCCCGCCTTCCCTCTGCTCGCTGTCTCCGTCGTTCAGATGGAGAGCCAGGCTCTGCACGTCCTCCCCCGCCTCCGAGGATTCCAGCAGCGATGAATCGTAATGGACGCGGCGCTGCTCAAAGGGGGCCTCGACCAGGTCCTCGTCCTCCTCTTGGTAAGGTTGTGCGGCCGCTGATTGCAGTTCACCATCAGAGGTCAGATCCAGGGAGGTCATCTGCAGCTCTCCCGCCGTGCTTTTCAGAAGGCCGCCTTCCTCGGCAAGCGGAGGATAGATGGCGAGCTTCAGGGCGTGCTCACACAACTCCCAGGTGCGCGAGGAGGAGATCTGACCCTTGCACTCTAAAATGCACATCTGGAGGCAGAAGGAAGCTGGCATGTAAATGCACGTACTTGACATGTAGGTGGGTAAAACGGTGCGCATCATCCATTCATCCATCACTTTTCCTTAGCATCTCATTCGGGTCACGCGCACCAATGTAACACTTGCAAAATGCTAGACAATTACAAGAAATGATCTCTTGTCAAATTTCGTTGGACACAAATCGATCGTTTTGCTGTATGTGTGGCAACGGTACCATAGCAACAGCCGGGACGCGGATCTTTTTGGGGTTAGCATTAGCATCCGTGCTAACATAACTCGTCAGGTAAATGAACGGGTGAAGTTCCACATTGTTTGTACAGCACTTTTATTTATTGTCAGTTAGAAGGTGGTTAAAAATAAAAAGTGCATCTGGAAATTCAGCGCCATTCATAAAGCGATTCATCACTCACGTTGTAAAACTTCACCAAGTGAATGCTTCCCTGTATCCCGAGCTGAGAGAGACTTGGTCTGGGTGGCCGACTTGTCAGGAAATTAATGGGGCTCTCCCTCATGCGGCGTTCGCAGCACAGGAAAAGTCACGAACTAATAGAACACGTCCATCATGCTATAAATGCGACATCTACATCGGCATAATGATTGACAGAAGCAAATTAACAAAAACAGCAATTATTTTGACGTCGTGTTTTTTTTCAGACAGGCTCTTCAACCTGAAGAAATATTTGAGGAATGATATATATATGATGTTTTCAAAAAGTTTTTGAGAGACCTTTGTGCACTTTTAATGGCCTCTATGACAGGATCGTAATCTGCATGCCTCAAATCTCTCCGTTGATTTAAGAGACAAGGATGGGCACGATATGGTCAAACTCTAGAGTAAGATCTTGACTGATGCCGTTACCCGGGCGTCATTTCTTTTCACGTCGATGCGATAGTGCCCGTACATCTTCCTGAAATGTGTGCAGCGCATCTTTCCCTCCGACAGCCCCCTGACTTGAAATGTTCAGTTTGACGCGAGAAGCAAAGCCCATTTACTTATCACATCTCGCTTAAATGAGATGAATTGTTATCGGAAACCTGCAGACATCAAAGGGGATGGGCGCGGAGGGAGTTCTGCTGTGACTCTATCAACAGAAGTTAATTATCCGTCCTAAATGAAATGAGCGCGCCAGGGGAGTCTCTGCGTCAGATCAATGAAACAATCGAAAGGAGTTTATGACTGAGAGGCCACGTGTGTACGGGTCATATTTTCATCACCTTGTGAGGACCAGAGGACACAAACAGCAGCAACAATAAGAGGGTCTAAGAATCCTTCACTATTTGATTTTAAAAGTGTGCTTTGCTCTCTATCGGTGACCATTTTCATTTTCCGCACTCATGGTATGATCCTGGCATTGCTTAACTTCCTCTCTGTATTTACGTTACGCCCTAAAATGTTCATTTCGTGGTAGTGCACGGCCAATGGCAAGTGCCGCATCCAATATAATGATGAGCGCTGATGATAGTGGCTTCTCCTTGCCAGAGCAGAGCTCAGAGTGGAAACAAGTGCGTACCCATAAAAACCCTGAAAAGGATTTTTCACTCCTGGAGGTTCGATCCTCCTCCACTCGAGTCTGCATGCTGGCCACATCACAAATCACAGATACTCCCATCAGCCGCTAGACACGTTCGCCGTGCAAGTCAGTATGTCTGCCATATTGGAACCTGATGGTGTTAGCTAGCGCTACAATTTGTGACTCTGCATTTTCGGCGCGTTTGTAGGCGCAGAAGCGTAGGCGCATTTTTCACCGGCGAATACGTTGAAACGTTCACTTGCACATTTGGTCGAAAAGGATTTGATCCTGACTGTTTACTCCGTTTTGCACTCCTTGCGGCAGCTCCAAGGGTGTCTTGTGGAAAGATCATCTTCGGCATTAAAAAGACAAAGCGCGTCCTAGTGAGCGCGCAGCTCTCTTAGAGGCTTTCCAACGATGTGCCATTAGAGCGTCATTACGTTTCGTTATTATCGTCGTGCGTGGCTGATTGAGAGGATCACATCACCGCGGCCTCACATTGTGACGTGCCGGGCGCATTTTCAACATCCACGAGGCCACCGAATATGGTGCAATAAAAGCTTAAAAATACATAACGGCACTACACGGGGGAAGAAATCAATAATGGTCTCATGAACCCGCTGTGAATTATAACAAATCCTTTCTGGAGTCCAGAGTCACGCTGAGAGTGTATTTTGGCACAGCTGCGCCTCACGCAGACTGAATGCAATTCCACCCTGAACTCACCCAGGAGTAGCCCTGCCCACGATCTCATTTCCAAACAGCCGAGAGAAGGGAGGGAGCGAGAGAGAAACGCCGCCGAGTGAAAAACAGCCGGCGGGCAACCTTGAATTGTGGTTGGATGGCTAATTTAGCCAATAATGATGCCGAGGAAGACAGCTGGGACCTTTATGGAAGACGTAATAGAACGATGTAATTGACTGCTGCTTAGACTCATCGGGCCGGGCTTACACCGCTGACTGACACATTTTATCAGCTCTGCATTGTGTTCGTCGCCTTCGCATCGAGCCAAAGATGGAAATCCCCCTGAGCCTTTCATTGTTCCCCACTCCAGGCCGGCGGGCACCTTTGCGATATCAGGATACACAGATTCACGGGAGCATATGCTCCATTAACGAATTGTCCACCCACGTCACGGTACCTACTCGGATCCGCTCGCATTGGTGCGGAGCAGTCGCCGTCCACGGCAAATCTGTACTGCTCCAGTAGTCGAGTGGAATCGCAAATTGCGACGTGTAAAAGTCTATAAAGACGAATGTGGCGTTATCAGCTCTGCATTGTGTTCGTCGCCTTCGCATCGAGCCAAAGATGGAAATCCCCCTGAGCCTTTCATTGTTCCCCACTCCAGGCCGGCGGGCACCTTTGCGATATCAGGATACACAGATTCACGGGAGCATATGCTCCATTAACTAATTGTCCACCCACGTCACGGTACCTACTTGGCTCTAATCGGATCCGCTCGCATTGGTGCGGAGCAGTCGCCGTCCAGGGCAAATCCGTACTGCTCCAGTAGTCGAGTGGAATTACAAATTGTGACGTGTAAAAGTCTAAAGACGAGTTTTGCCTTTTTTCATTTCAGGTAAGTGGTAGCCAACCAAATATATCTTGAGCCCTATTGCTTGGGGGAAAAAAAGCTGAAACACAAACACACACGCAGCCACATACCATCGTGTCAAAGGCTTGATGCAGTTGCTGCTTCTGTAGGACAAGGCCGCAGGCCAGGCACTCCCCCTGGCAGTCGCTGCGTCCAGGGGTGAAGAAACACGGAAGCAGAACCAGCAGGCACCACAGAGGGATCTTCATGGCTCCGCACACCCGGACAGGCAGGAAAAAAAAAAACGGGAGCCCGACGAGCAGGGGTGCCAAGAGAAGACGGAGCAATCACAGCTGGATAAGGGTCAAGTACGGGAAGTCCAGCCTGGGGGGGGGTTAAGAAGGCGGTTACACAGGATTGCATCAGGGCCAGTTTCAAGGAATTATTCGCTTATTTTGATGTATTTCTTTATTTGTTAAGGGCCAAGCGTCGCTGGCGGGAGATTGTCCAGCCACCACCAGGAATTGGATCGTGTTGGTGTGATGAATGGTGAGTGCAACCGGATGCAATGATTGAAACAAAATTGCAACATGATTCAAAGTCATACAAGAATTCTTGAAGTGGGTTTGTGCAACACAAAAAAAAAAAAAAAACGGCCAAACATAAAAACAGCAACTCAACAAACTGGGTAACTCCGTAGTCAAGGTGTCGTCGTTTTTCGAGAACTTTTGTGATATCGTCAAGAAATTTGAGGACAACCTATAGGCGGGGGCGATTCCGCCAAAGATGTCTGTCAGTCCTAAAATGATGGTGATGAACTGTCATTTAGCGCCGACGGCAACCGGGTTAAACTCAAGATAATGGACGATGCCGATGAGGACGTGATTCCATTTCTCCATTATCATGTTTGTCTCCACAGATGGGAGAAATCACATGGTTCATCGTGCCTCGGAGTGAGGCAGGCGGCGTCCGTTCTGAAACGCGAACTCCCACACGAGGAACCAAAATGGCTCCTTGATGACTTCTAAAAAGGTGCACTGCTGAAAATTTGAAAGGATGGTAACACGGCTTCTCGATGCAATGCCAGCTCTCCAGGACCCCATCCATCATGTGGGCGGCCCCCCCCCCTCCATATTCCCAAATATAACAGGTTACG